CTTCCATATATAAACCTTTCCTTGACTTTTTACAATAACAAACTAATATTATATTTGTCCTTCTGTGATTGACTTATTTCACTCAGCATAACGTCCTCCAAGTTTATCCACATTATGCAGTGTTTTGCAGATTCTACATTATTCTTCAGGGTTGCATAATATTCCATGGTGTGTACGTACCATAGTTTGGTCATCCATTCTTCTGTTGATGGGCACGTAGGTTGTTTCCATCTTTTTGCTATTGCGAATAGTGCTGTGATGAATGTGGATGTGCGTATATCTGTTCTTGTCCTGGCTCTCACTTCTTTAGGATATATACCTAGTAATGGGATTGCTGCATCAAATTGTATTTCTAATTAAAGCTTTTTAAGGAATTGCCATACTGCTTTCACAGTGGTTGTATCATTTAACAGTCCCACCAGCAGTGTACAAGAGTTCCAATCTCGCCATAACCGCACCAGTATTCGTAATTTTCTGTCTTCTTGAACTTTCCCATTAGTGCTGGGGTGAGATGGTATCTCATTGCTGTTTTGATTTGCATCTCTCTGATGGCTAATGATAGTGAGCATTTCTTCATGTATTTGCTGGCTGCCTGAAACTCCTCTTTGGTGACGTGTCTATTCATGTCTTCTCCCCATTTTTTTAATTGGATTGTTAATCTTTTTGTTGTTGAGGTATTGGAGTTTTCTATAAATTTTACAGATAAATCCCTTGAAACCACTACACTAAGTGAAAGGAATTAGTCACAAAAGACTACATATTACACGATTCCATTATATAAAATGTCCAGAGTATGCAAATCCATACTGAGAGTAGATTAATGACTGCCTAGAGCTGAAGGGACTGGGTAGACATGGACAGTAACTGCTAATAGGTATAGGATTTATTTTTGGGATGATGAAAATATTATGAAGTTGATTTGGCTATGGCAGTATAACTCTAAATGTCCTGTTGTTGTTGTTGTTATGTGCCGTCGAGTCAGCCGACTCATAGCGACCCCTCCTTGGGTTTCCAAGGCAGTATCACTACGGAAGTAGGATTGCCCAACCTTCCTTCCGAGGAGTAGCTGGTGGGTTTGAACCGCCAGCCTTCTGGTTAGCAGTCAAGTGCCTTAGCCACTATGCTACCAGAGCTAAATGTCCTAGAAGCTACTTAATTGTACATTTGAAATAGGTCAATTGTATGGTATGTGATATGTCAGACATGTAATTATCAACAAGTATGAATTAGTTGCTGTCATTTTGTTATGTGCTTTTTTGTGGTGTTGATTCTTTGTTCCATATAATTTTCTGCGCTGCGCTTGTTTTGTTTGTGAATTGTGTTATCTCATCCTTCGTTGCTATTGTTTAAAAAAAAAAAAACCTCATGGCCGTCAAGTAAGATCCAACTCATAGCAACCCCTCCTTGAGTTTCTGAAGCAGTATCACTACGGAAGTAACCTTCCTTCTGAGGAGTGGCTGGTGGGTTTGAACCACCAGCCTTCTGGTTAGCAGTCAAATGCCATAGGGACTGTGCCACCAGAGCTCCTGCTATTGTTTTAGTATTTGCGAAATATTTATGCTGGTCCTCTTTTTTATTTTGATATAAAGGTTTATCATTTCTCTTTGAGGTTACGCTGTGATTTATAATTTTCTTCCCAAGATTAGAACAGTCCATTCTATCTTGCAGTTGTCTTGACTTCCTACCATCTAGAAGTTCTGTAACAGTATTTTTTCCCTCATATTGGTTTGTAGTTGTCCTCATTTGTCAATTGATGTCTCTGGTTCCCTGTTTACAAAATCCTGTAGGGCTTCCTTGGATAATTCTACAACTGGGTTAGTTTCTGGGTTGTATTATCATGTGTGTTAAGGGTCAGTTGTTGTTTGCTATTGTTGGTTCTCTGTCCAAAGGACTCCCTTTAGCATCTTTTGTAAGGTTGGTCTGGTTTAACAAATTCCCTTAATTTCTGCTTATCTGGACATCTCCTAATTTTGACATCATATTTGAGGGACAATTTTGCTAGGTACATAATTCTTGGTTGAAAATTTTTTTCTTTCAGGGTTTATATCTACCATTCCATTGTCTTCTCGCCTGCATGGTTTCTGGCAAGAAATCTGAGCTTAGTCTTATTGGTTGCCCCTTGCAGGTAACTTCATTTTTCCCATACTGCTTTCAGAATTCTTAACTTGTGTTTGATTTTGTTGAGTTTGATGATGATATGTCTTGGTGATTTTCTTTTGGACTCTATCCTGTTTGGTGTTCGTTGGACTGCTTGAATGGATATAATCTCATCTTTCATCAAACCAGGGAAATTCTCTTCCAACAAACCTTTAACAATTTTTTCTATGGTGTTATTTGTCTATTCCTGTTCTGGAATTCCAATCACACATAGGTTATTCCTTTTGATGGAATCGCACATGAACCTTAGGCTTTCTTCATTTGTTTTGATCTTTTTTTCTGACTGTTCCATTTCCAAAAACGTATTGAGGCATTTCCCTTCACTCTAATTGTGTCTTCCATTGATTCAATTCTACTCCTTTGCCTGTTCAATGTGTTATCTATTTCTGAAAATTTAATATTCATCTTCTGGATTTCTGTCTGAAGATTTTGTATCATTTCTAATTTTTCATTTATTTTGTCATTTCATTCTTGTATTGTCTTTCAAAATTGTTCTAGGGTTTTCTCTGTGTTTTCCTCCACTTTGTCAGTGTTTTCCTTCATCTGGCTGTCAATCCATTGAAGGTACCTAAATATAATTCTAGGAGCTCTGGTAGCATAGTGCCTAAGGCACTTGACTGCTCACCAGAAGGCTGGCGGTTCAAACCCACCAGCCACTCCTCGGAAGGAAGGTTGGGCAATCCTACTTCCGTAGTGATACTGCCTCGGAAACCCAAGGAGGGGTCGCTATGAGTCAGGGCTGACTCAACGGCAAACAACAACAACAACAACAAATATAATTCTTTTGAATTCCTTATCATTGAGTTCCAATACTGTGTCTTCCTCAGGGGTGTGCTTTGGGTCTGTATCCTGGTCCCTTGTTTTTCACATTTTATCTTGCTTTTTTGTGTGGACTGTGATGCTGTGTTGTCTCCAAGGCATTGTGATATTTTTGTGTTTATATTTAATTGGTGATTGTATGATGGAATGACTCACCCATAATTTTCGTTTTGTTTTGTTTGTATGTTATCTACGTAAATAGGTTACTATGCTGTGCTCCTCTATGCACTAGTTGGCAGCACTTATATACTCACCACCTGTCTCCTTTCCCGTTGTCTGCCTCCCATATGTCCCTGCTGTCCTTGGCAAACTGAGCCTATTCTTAGGTCCCAGGAATCTAAATGAGAATGCTGTCACTTTAAAATCCAAAATGGCCACCACCTGTAAACATTCAAAGTGGCTACGCTCTCAGTCACTTTAAATACCCAAAATGGCCACTGCTTGTAAATATTCAAAATGGCTGCACCCTCAGTCACTTGAAATATCCAAAATGGCCACAGTTTGTAAACATTCAAAATGGCTGTGCCCTCCACACAGCCAAAAGTCCACAGCTCAAGTTGTCTCCCTCCTTGCTGTTTCCCTTCCTAGTCATAGGCCACCAGCGCAGTCATCCCTACAACCCTTGGCAACTAGGGCTGATCTTTAGATCAATTCTCAGGTCCCAACACCACTTGGAAATATTCAGGCTGTTGGTCCCATCAGAGTAGCTGACAGTCCACTGCTTTGACTGTCTCCGTCCTCACTGTTTTCATTCAAGTTTTTCCACTAGTTGGTGCCTAATCCACTTCTGTATACTTCCTTTCAAAGCTCAGGGCTCCAGGATTGTCTTCTGTATCTCTGTCAATTGGTTTCTCCTTTCTTTGTTGAAGAGGGTCTGTGTAGCTTGTGTGCCTATTCTGTCATCTTACTGCAAGTCCAAAGATCCCACTTATGAAGAGAATTTTAAGATTCACACTTAAAAAGCCAACAACGTGGTAATTACAATCAGGAAAATATGTAAGAAGTACATTGTCAAGATCATCCATCATGGCATCAAACATGGATTTGGAGAAGGCCTAGTAACAGAACCTTCAGGACGTGAGACCTAAAGAAAGACCACCAGAAACCAATACATCGACTTAAAAAAAGAGAACCTATTAAAGATTGCTGTGAAGTCAATTTTGACTCATGGCAACTCCATGTGTGTCAGAGAAGAACTGCACTCCAGAGAATTTTCAAGGCTGTGACCTTACAGAAGCAGATAATCAGGCCTTTTTTCCAAGGCTTCTATGGGTAGGCTTAAGTTACCAATCTTTTGGTTAGTAGTTGAGTGTTTAACCATTTGCACCGCCCCCAGGGACTCTATACCAAACCAAACTCACTGCCATCAAGTTGATTCTGACTTACAGTGACCTCTATTGGGTTTCCAAGGTGGTAAATCTTCGTGGAAGTAGATTGCCCAATCTTCCTTCCACAGAGCAACTGGTGGGTTAGGCATTACACCACCCGAGCTCCTTTAGGGACTCTATAGAATCCTAAAACCTACCATGAAGGAAGGGAAGATGGAGTAGCAGAGAACAAAAGTAAGTACTTAGTTAAAGTATCTTTTCTCCTAAAACACAAAAAGACATTTCAAAACCTGAAAGATATATAGGAATCTGCCTACATTTTCACACCTGCAAAGATAAAGGAGATTTAGGTTGTTTTTTTTAACTTCTGCTATAACAAACAATGCTATGATGAAGTTTCCTGTACATGTCTCCTCACATATAATCTAGAATTTCTCTAGAGCATAGGCTTAGAAAAGGAATTCCTGAGTACCCTATCTTTTTAAAATCTGTTTTTCCTTCAACACGTAACCTTTATTGCATTATAGGACTATTACCATAATTAACCAAAGACTCTGAGTAGAGATAACCTTTAAGAGACTCACTATAGAAAAATATTAAATTCTCTTTTTTATTTTTAATTCATGTCAGAGTATGTAGTTAAGAAAGGCATCTAGAGCCAAAAAAAAACAGTGTATTCCACTAATGAGAAATTACCTGAGTAATATTTTGAGAGGACATAATTGCTTGGTAATAGAATGTGCGACCAAAGTGATCTCGATCTGGAAATGTGTCTGCTTGTCGGGGTAAGTATGCACCTCCCGAGTCAACTGAAAACAAGGGAAATGACAGAAGTAAGTATATCTCTACGAACAAAATAGACTACATACAAGCACATTTGTATTGGTGGCAGCATCAGTTCTTAATCACATTCATAAAAATTGCCTAGCATTCCAGGCTGTTCTAGAGACTCTTTCTCCTATCCCCCAACGTAGCCAAACAGATCCACTGTTCGTCCCAATGCCTGTTGCTGTTGTTCTTAGGTACCATTGAGTCATCTCTGACTCATAGCGACCCTATGTACAGCCGAACAAAGCAATGCCCGGTCCTGTGCCAGCCCCATGATCCTTGCTATACATGAGCCCATCGTTGTAGCCACTGTATCAATCCATCTTATTGAGGCCCTCCCCTTTCCACTGACCCTCCACTTCCCCAAGCATGATATCCTTCTCCAGGGAACAGTCCCTTCTGACAACATGACCAAAGTAGGTGAGATGAAGTCTAGCCATTCTCGTTTCCAAGGAGCATTCCAGCTGCACTTGTTCTAGGACAGATTTGTTACTTCTTTTAGTAGTCCACGGTACTTGCAGCATTCTTCGCCAACACCATAATTCAAAAGCATCAACTCTTCTTCGGTCTTTCTTATTCACTGTCTAGCCCTCACATGCATATGAGGTGAATGAAAATACCATGGCTTGGGTCAGGCACACCTTAGTCTTCAGGGAGATATCTTTGCCCTTCAGCACTTGAAAGAAGTCTATTGCGGCATATTTGCCCAATGCTATATGTCATCTGATATCCTGACTGCTGCTTCCATTAATGTTAACTGTAGAATCAACTAATATGAAGTCTGTGACAACTTCAATCTTTTCTCCATTTATAGTGATGCTGTTGATTGGTCCAGTTGTGAGGATTTTTGTTTTCTTTATATTGAGATATAATCCAAATTTCAGACTGTACTCTTCAATCATCATCAGTAAGTGCTTCAAGTCATCCTCACTTTCAGCAAGCAAAGTTGTGCTGTCACCATATCACAGGTTGTTAATTAATCTTCCTCCAATCCTGATGCCACCTTCTTCTTCGTATAGTCCAGCTTCCCAGATTACTTGTTCAGCATACAGACTGAAGAAGTATGGTGAGAGAATACAACCCTGATGCACCCCCTTTTTTATTTTAAACCATGCAGTGTCCCCTTGTT